AACCGTTTTGTTTAGGGCAGAGCTAAGTATGAAGACTAGTTTGCCTGTTTTCAAGTCGATCTTCATCCCGATGCTGATTTACGATCATGAGTCGTAGGTTGTGACTGAAACCTTCCAACTCTGGTCAAAACTACTGAAATGGGGACCATCTGAGACGAATCACTGGGCTCACGCGGCTCGACATGGTCCACGGTTCAGATATTCGAGAATGCCTTGGTGTGTAACAGCTGTTTCTGCAGATTAAGAAGTCGCAGCTGCGATGATTTGGCAACGTTTCTTCGAGTGCTTCCGGAAAGGATGGCGAAACGGCTACTACTTTTTCAGCCGACCGACTGAATTCCCCTTTGGCAGCCAGCAACTGGGCAAGTGCCTCGATGAACCCTGCTCCATACTCATCTTCTACCGTAGCTCAAACAGTGGTCCAGGATCTGGAAGTCCGTGTCTGACTCGTCTGCCTCCGCGACGTGAAAGAATCGGCAATCATCGAAACTGTCTGAGTGACTCACTGACTTTTGGTTCATTGGGCTTACATGGCATCATTCAATGTCGCCAATTTCACGACTTTTCAGTGATGCCAGAGCGTCAGCAGCAGATATCCTTGCAAGAATTCACGTTCACTGGTACTCTAGCTGCAGGTCATTTTTAACTTTCCTTAGCGTGTTTTGTCACTCGACCGAGTTAGAAATTTATGGTTATCATCTGCTATAGTTCCGTTTCCAAAACTTTGAAACCTCATTAACTGCGACTCTGTCGTTCGAGACATTGACTCGGTTCTGCTGTTTCCCTCGTCGCTTAGCTGTCGCCCAAAACGCGTAATCCCCAGGATTTTTCTCTGAAAGTCTGTTTCGGCCGCTTATCTGGATCAGACGGAAAAACGTTTTTAATCTTCTTCAGCACTCGTAAAGATATTTCAGTACAAAATCGATTGATGTATTAGTTCCATTATATAACGTTGAAAATACAGTTCTATCGATTCGTTGCCGATCAAGAACATTATCTTTCTGGCAATATCATGTTTGTCTCGGAAGCAGTAAGTAATGGCACTCTGTCGTTAACTGGTAATGTTGAATAATTTTGGAATTGTTATGAAAGATTTCCGTCGCTGTTCGGGATTCGAATATTCGGTTTAGAGTGCTCACTCTCCAGACTGGTCTTTTCGTTCAAATTTCTGTGCATCATCAGGTCTATTCAGAGAACATGATGAAGAACTGTGAATTTAACACATTGACGAAATTTCATAAGTGAAAAATTTTGAAGAACGGGCTCTAAATCCATACTTTTTCACTGA